TGTGGCTCTTTGCAGTAACATAGAAAAAATGTGGCTCTTAACCTCTGACTGGTTGGCCACCCCTGATCTAGCGGCTCTTAGTATTGACACATATTTATTGAAATGTGTTGCTGCACAGGTCACCTTTAGCTCTCTTAAGAGATGGATGATGTCATGTGTGTACTTAATTATAACTACATACTCTTACTGTACTTACAGTAAACAGAATTCTAGGGTGTCATGAGTATTTTCTGATGTTTTATACTATATGTTAGTTTGTTTGTTTGAACACCTTGTTTCTCTTGTGCATTAAGTACACTTGTGTTAGGGCATGATTTAACAATAAATAGGTTATATATACAGTACAACATACCACGTACTTCCCACCCTCCCATGCCACCCTGGCATGACCTCTTGCCCCCCCTTTGCCACCCCATGTCAAATGTTCTAGAACCGCCACTGGGTACTAGGACTCTTTCTGAATTAAAAATAGAAATACTATCATCTTAAATAATGTCTAAATAAAAAATGGAACTTAAGTAGAAGTACAAAAGTATTATAGGCAAATTGCATCAAAGTAAAAGTACTCTTCATGCAGATTGTCTCTTTTAACAGTATTATGGAACATTATTATTCAGCTTTCATCACCAACAATTATATCTTATAATTTTAATGTTGGACTTGATTATTTTTGAAATGCTGGGTGAATTAGCAGAATAGTAGTGCATCATATCATATATGCATACCATGTGTTTTTATTTGCAGCACTTATCTAATTATTATGAGAGTTAAATAAATGTAGTAGAGTAAAACGTAAAAATGTTGCCTCAGAAAATGTTGAATGAGTAGAAATATAAAGCATCCTAAGATAAAAGTACAAGCATGGAAAAATAGTACTTACATACTATACTTGAGTAAATGTACTTTGGTACTTTCTACCATTGCCTGTGCCAAAGTGACTTCCTCATGATCCCTTGGAGCAGACACACATGTCACCAGCTCCCTCTGGTGGGGGCTCTATGAACAGCAACCGGTCTCCTCACCTGATGAGGATGATTACAGAGGGGGTCTGGGCCATGGCTCCGATCATGCTGCACACACAGATCACACACAGGAAGGTGAGGAAGGCCTGCTGACAGCCCGGACTGGGACATTTCCCCGGCAGAGCCACCGCCTCCTCACTGGAGCTGGATATACACGTGCAGCTGGTCAGGTTCTGACACGAGGACGAGAGAAGAGATCAAAGTGTTTTTATGGAGATCTGCTGCACTGTGTGTATGCTTCCTGTCTTAAAGCTTGAGATGTCCCGGGTATAAGGTGCTGGTGACAGAGCTAATTTCAGTCCCTCACTCACTGGTTTGGTGCAGCCGGCGAAGCAGGCGGAGAGGTAGGTGACTCCGTTGGAGCCACAGACGGGGCTCACTGACGCGGTGTAGCAGTTACAGTTGTTGATGCACGCTGACTCAGGTCGCTGCCAGGACCGCAGCGTCCTACAGTGGGTCAAAGTTCACGTTAGAGAGCATATATATGTTTCTTTTTTTTACATTTTATTGTTACACTTTGTAGTTGGTCTGTACATTTATTCGACAGTGACTGATAAGTATCCACTTACTGTTTATGTTTTTTTCTACAGTTGATATATTTACTGTTTATTTATGTTTATTCTCTAATTTACTTTGTACTTATTTAATTTGCACTGCCGCATTGAGATGGGGACACAAATCATTTCCAAAATTGGGATAAATAAAGCATATCTAATCTACAGCGCTTTTCCTGTTTTAGCGACCACTCTTAGCGCTTTACAACACAAACCGATTGCAATTTAGTTTGCTTGATTGGGATTGAGCATTTTCATATACCTATTACCTAAAGCTGCAAAAAAAAAATCAAGAAAGACATGGAAAATGCATTCATTACAATAAGGGACCTTTAACATCTTGAAATGTATGACCTTGGCTGAGATCTGCACTTTTAGTATTTCAAGATTATGTTCTGAATATTTAACCATTAAATCCTCAAATCACAAAGTAACCAGGGATGTAAAAGCCAATATTTCCTTTCACTGAAATGCGTAAAATAACTTAAAGGTTTCAGCGCTTCAAGTGCAGTGCTTACTGTTGTACGGTTTGGTCCCTTACACAAGACTTGAATTCTGAATTAATACATAAAAGGTATACAGTACATGTAAACAGAAATGCTAGAAGACATAGCTAAATCCCCACTTTGTTTTTGGGCATAGTTTTAGTATCTATCATGTTTGAAGTCCAAGTAAGGATATCCTGAGAGGAATATGTTTCTATTAAAAAATACATAAGTAGGTTGCCCCTGCTTACTCGTTGCCGTAGGCTACAGTAACCCCAGCGACAGGTCCGGTGTCACAGCCCAAGAACAGGAAAGAAACGTAGCAGGCGGTGGACACCAGGTTGACCATCATGGCCATGCGGACAGCGCCCAGGGCCGACAGGTTCAGCTTCTTAACCAGCAGCCCCCCGAGGAAGATCCCCAGACAGGCACAGGGGATGGCTGTCATACCTGGGGAGGGAGGGATGGATGTGGATACGTTTCCAACAATTATTTCAATAAAATTTGCCTGAGAGAAGGTTTCTGTTTTCACAAATGTATTTTTTCATTTAGTTTGACTGTAAAAAAATAAGGTTCTCCATCATCTTTATGACAAGATTATGCCCCGCCTACCTAGCAGCTGATTGGCCGAGGAAGTGGTGAGGTTGAACTGTTGCTCCAGGTATTTTCCCAGGAACGCAGCAAAGCCAGCGACCACGGCGATCTCCATGCAGGCTGCCAGCGTGATGCAGCTGAACACCGGGTTGGACAGAAGGTGCCGGGTCACCCGCGGGATCACTTGTAGAATTGTGAAGAGAAAAGGAAAAAAGGGAGTTATAATTTCTGAGATTATTCATTAACCAAATATTTTTTTAAAGATTCACAGGTTTATTGGAACAGGAAGTAATTCCTGCCATTGGCCATCCAATAGGATGGTTGCGGTCTAATTGTCAGTTTAGCTTAGGTACCTTCCTAACGGAGTGAAATGACCCAGAAGTACCTCAGTGGCAGCCATGATAAGTAGGCCTACTGTTCGAATTCTCCAGATGATAGGAAAGGAGCTTTGAAACATCCTTTATAACCTCCTTTAGCTTAGGAACCACTGGCCCTTCCTTTACGAAAGGAAAGGAGAAAAGGCTGTCCCACAATACCTTGCGGCTGCAACATTTACAGTTCCACAACATTCGGCCGTTCACGGAAACAACCGATCGACAACTAGATGCGCTTATACTGACGTTTCAGACAGAGGTCAAGAAATAGTGGATCAGAATAGCCGACAGGAGCTGATTTTTGCACTATTTGACTGCAACTGAAATCATTCCTGCATGTGGTCATTAAACAGTCATTTTGAATTTTGTATGTATCTTGTTTAATTTAATTGTAGGATTGTATTGCACATTCTTACTTCTTAAGTATATAAATAAGTATTTTTTTTATTTGAAAATGGATCAATTGCCATGAAATCCAATTAGCCACCAGAATAAATTAAGTATTTCTGATGGAGAATTTTGCAATTTACACAATGCTACACAAATGAGTTGGCAATGAAAAGTCCCCGACTCTTTCAAAAGTGCAACATACAATATAATTGAGACATAAAAAGAAAAATAGTCAATTCAGGAACGGGTACACTGTAAGAAAAAGTTTGGCAATTTACTTGTCCGAATGCATTTTTCACTTGTCCAGAATGACAAGTGAAAAATTGGGGCCACTGGAGTCTTTTCTTCACCATCGTTTTTTACATTTTCCCACGGTTTTTACGACACCGGTAACGTAAGTGAGCGGTAAGATTTTACTGCATCACACATAGGGTTGGGTATCGTTTGGATTTTAACGATTCCGGTTATGCTTTTCGGTTCTCGATTCCGGTTCTTTAAGAGGGTAAAAATAAGTCCCATGCCAATTTCACTGGGAGAAAAATCTGTATTCCTATTTACAAATCACTTCATACTGTTTAGCTTTGTTACGGTTATTGAATACAATTATATAAAAATTATCTCTGCATTATTTAGTTGGTTCTAAGTGGTGCAGTTTGAGAATGTACAATTAGCCCAGTCTCCTCTGATGTCACACTGCAACCTGCCCAACCACACAGTCTGTCCAACACACGTCCTGCAACACATCTGCTACAGCTGCCCAGCTGGTCACTGTTTGTAAAAGTAAATAAATAGTATTTTAATTTCAATAATGTACTTTCTATACCCTGCTTTATAAACAATACTGACATCCCTGTGCTCCTCCGAGTCTGTCTCACAGTCCGGGGATGTGAGGACAGCGCAAGGACACAGACAGGGAGGCTGCTTTACTTCATAAAGGAAATGGCGGTCAATATTAACAACACAGGAGCTAACACGCTTAATAACATTCATTACGTTATAGAGAAAGAACATAAGAAAGTCTGACAAAGATGAGGCTGTTAAACGGGCACTGGATCCGCTGTGTGTAGAGAGGGAGAGAGAGAGAGCGAGAGAGAGAGAGAGAAGCTGAGCTGCACCGTGCAGCGATCAGCTGATCCGGAGAATAGAGAGAGCTGCGGTCCGCGGGGACACGGACAATTTGCGAATGAGTTCTGCCTTTTGTAAGCTGAATTTATCAATAAGTTGTAATTACATAAGGGCGAAAAACGTCACGTGTCCATCGGACAAGTCAATGGGAAGATGTAGGCTACTTGTACGATATTGTAAATTACACGTCGCAGACGATCGGACGTGTTTTTTTTTCCGCACACTGGGGTGATATTCAAAATATAATAACATGAAACAGGATGTAAAATTACATTACAAAAATTAAAAACTGTTCAGTGAAATGAAATACTGCTCATTGTAATAATATATAAATATATGGACTGTAAACAGATGTTATATTTTCCCAGTCTCTCCCCCTCACGTCTCAGATGCTCACACACTGTGAGGCCGCTGTTAATGTCGAAGCCGTGGACAGCCCCGTTGGGTTTGGAGCCCTGGTACTCGCTGAGGGAGGGAGGCAGCATGGCCTGCTCACTCTCCCCCCCGCTGTCCATGTCCGGCTCACCCAGCGACTGGGGGAAGCCAAACATGAAGAGGGCCGACAGGAAGAGTAAGGCACTGCAGAGCAGGAAGCCGCCCCACCACGCCCCGATCCAGCGAGGGTCGTCCGGGGTGATATCCAGTTTACCTGCAGGAGAGGGAGGGACATTTACACCATGGAGGGATGTTGAGTTATGTCATAGGTAGAGGTGTCAATCGATAAAAAATTTTTTCAATAATCACAATGATATTAAAACATTTGATAAGTCATACATGTAAAATGTATTTTGGGAGGGATAAAACAAATACATGTGTGGTGTTATAATAAAGAAATGCATGACAAACTGATTTATATTCGATGTTTTGAATTCATTATAACATGATTTCAAAATTTTCGCTTTAAATCCAACCATTTTCCGACACTGAGCTACCTCTTTGACAAAGCCACAGTTACAGAGAGCCGCTGTGATCACCCTCTGTGTGTGCTACAAGCATGGATGTATTGTGGCTGCCTCTATAATATTCTGAGCACTATCAGTGGCAACGGCTGCTTTATTATGGGTAGCTCAGTGTGTAGAGACTTGGCTTCATAACAGAAGGGCATGGTTCAAGTTCCAATCAGACTGGACCATTTGTGATGTACTGTGTGTGTAAAACAAACAGACTGGAAAACTGGATTTCCCCTTCGGGATCAATAAGGGTTAATCTCTCTGAGCTGTAATTACTTGAGGAAGTTGGGATCAGACTTGGTAAAGTGATTACTTTGCATTCATTTTAAGGTGTAAATGAATTGCCAGCGCCATCATGTTGACAACAACATTGACAGCACTAGTCATAAAATGTTAAGAAATTGCATTACAATACTTTGGTGTTCTTAATTTCCTCCTTAGAATCTTAAGAAATACAAGTATTGTAAGTGAAATTAACAAATGAAAAGATTTATTTGAAGAAATACATAAAGTAGCCACTTACTGGTATCGATGAAGACAGCATCGACGTAGACTTTGGTACAGACAGAACCTAAGATGAAGCCACAGGCCGGGCCGAACACTAATGTGGAAAATAAAATACCTACAAGACAGAGAGACAGAGGAAGAGAAAATAAAAAATTCAGTCAGTTAAAATAGAATGGAACAGCTGTATTGTATATTTAAGTACTTGAATTTAGCTTAGCCTAGTTGTACAGTTAAAAATAAACTTCTAAAATAAAAGTATATCCACTGTTATGACCCAGTTTATTAAATGTATTAGTCACTGCTTTTAAAATAGTGACAAACCAAAGTATGTTAATACTGTATATACAAAATATGTACAATTGTATATGTTTATACCTCAGTTGTATTGGTTTATTGTTGATCATGATTTGTAGGCATCAGATCTTTCAATTTAGGCACACGTGCACTTTTAATGCTGATCTCCAAAAATGTTAGGGTTAGGGTGTAAGGTATGTATTTCCCCAATCCATCACACACTAGGTAACCATAAATAAGCTAAATAAATAATAAATTAGGTGCTTTTCCCCTCCTCTTTCTGCAGAGGGCAGCATTGTATCAGACCTGAAAAGAGTCCAATACTTTAACATGTTATTAAAAATGCGGTAGCAGAGCTGCTGCTGTTGAATCCACTGACGGAGACTGACATTCTATTCAAGGAAAGATTTCATGACAAGAGATTTCATGCGATGTCTCCCACGACAGATTTATTCTGTGTCACTGTAATATGCGGCTCATAGGTTGCACAGCGTAATTGATCTAAAACTAGATTATCCAGCAGCAGGATCATAAATAAGAGAGCAGGAAATGGGTTCTAAGTGTAAGAGCAGTGGGGAACCAGAGAGCTTTCCAGTAAGCAGCAGCAGACTGTGCAGAAAGGTGTGTGTGTGTGTGTGTGTGTGTGTGTGTGTGTGTGTGTGTGTGTGTGTGTGTGTGTGAGCTGTGCTTTTCATCGCTGATAAATCTGAGAGCAGAACGGCTGATTCATTTATTTGGCGTGTTATCAATGCATTTCTAAAGATCAAATCTCCATAATATAAGCCAGAGAGAGAAAATGGTTTCAACAAGCTTTTTGGATTATTTTATGCCAATTGAAACCTACGGAAGCCCTGGGAGGCAAAACAAAGAAAAATGACTGGTGATCTATTTTATGTTGGATGATATTTATATTCCCTTCTCTGTTTATGCTTGAACACTGGTGAAGTTCTCATTTGCCTCTTTTTACAAACAGCTGTTTCAGCCCAACAACAGACTTTGTCCATTATTTTCAGTGTGTTTTAGTGTTTTGGTGCAGAGATAAGAAATATTACAACCTGTGACACTGTGGGTATACCAAGACATGCAAGTATCCCCCCCATATACCTTTTGACAGATTTGGGGTCTTACAAGGGTGCAGTCACCCACATAACAATAATAAACAACTCAAATCATTACAGTAAAAAGCCTCAACCATTATCACAAAACATGTACAGTATGTTTGTGCACTTATTGTAAGTCGCTTTGGATCAAAGCTAAAGGAAATGTTATGTAATGTAAGTTATTCATATCCATAAAGGTGGATTTGACTGATATAGTGTGACTGTGGCTGCGAGGAAGTGCGGTTGTCTTTCAACCAGAAGGTTGTTGGATCCGATCCCTGTCAACATGTCGATGTGTCCATGGGCAAGGTACTTAACCCTGAGTTGCTCCCAACGGTGAATGAATGTGTGTAAATGCTAGTTTCCAAGGGCACTGCTCAGTATGAATGAGGAGAGAAAGGGTGAATGACCTGTAGTGTGTAAAGCGCTTTGAGCGCCTTTGTAAAGACCTGATAAAGCGCTGTATAAGTACAGTCCATTTACCATTTAGTGTCACACATATGTCAGTCACACGATAAGCCTGAGAAACCTCTTACTATCAGGTAGCAGTCAATGTCATTGGTTTTGCAGGTATTTGATCATAAAGCAAAGTTTAGGACAGATAAAGACAACGGATAGAATGTATTTATTAATGGGGCTATATACTGTACCTTATAAGGTTTTTACAATTTATCCTTTTGAGACCATTAGTGTCTCTGTAGAATTCATCCTAGAATAAAAACTGAAACGAATAATAAATTAAACAATAAAAATACACTTAAAATACGATTCTAAACAGAACCTAGCTTTACTGTGTCCCCACATGAGGATAGAGCCTGGAGTGGCCTCGACAGTGAAACAGCTGATGACGGAGAATTAGCGCTTAGCTTTGTGTTGCCGTGAGAAAATACAGAGAGCTCCTGATGGTGTAGCAACAGCTGCTGGACACTATCAGGAGAAGCATTCAGGACGGATGCCAGTGTGTGGTCTGGAAAGTAAGGCCGTTTCCTGAGAGACACCACTGAGCGCTCATGGCACTGAAAGAATGTGGTACAGTACTGGAGTCATGCAGTAAAACTTTTTTATTATCCTATTGTTCTCTTCCAATAGTGGAGTATTTAGGCTGTGAAAGCCTTTGGCACAGCACCTGCTCAATATCTTACACATTCCTTCACAAAAGTGTTCCCCTTTAAAAAACAGATAAATGTCAATGTATTTGTTTTTATATTTTCTGTATTCATTCTTTTTTATATTTAGCACCCCTATAAAAAATGTAGCACTATATCTAAAAGTCAAGGTATGACAGAAAATTGTGCTGATGGAATAAAAGTTACTACGTATTAATGACCTGTTAAGCCCCAAGGTCCCCGCCGGCGGAGACCCTGTTTTTTTTTTTCAGCACACTGTGTCTCAGGGGATCTTAATATTTAAGAACCTATTAATGTGTTGTACCAGATTAACGGAAATAATCTCAGCTAACTGACGATATAAACCATTCTTACCAAAACAAAACACAAGTCTCATAAGAAGCATCTAAATGACCCCTTAGCAAAAAATGCTAACGGACATTGGAACAGAACTCAAGATAAAAGTACCCTTATTACTTATCGTAGCTGCCCATACAAGATATCCGATTAAAGCTGAGGTTCCACAGATTATTTAGGTATATAGTATCATCACTGAGTGATCCGAACTTGCGACAGGGGAAGCAAAGACAGACATCACAACATGTACCTTTACGTAGCTTCTAGGGAGATCGTCTCTCGCCGTAGCTGTTAATCTGATCAAAAGACGTGTTCAATGGCATTAAAACGAGAAAAAACGCGGCTGAATCGGTTAATACATAGGCAATGGCGACTGGTCATTAGGGGCAGGTGGGGCACAGCCCCACCTAGTGGTGTGTGTGTGTGTGTGTNTTGTACAAGAAAGCCCAGTCTATAACTGCCGAACATAGGAACTGGGTACACCGATAAAGTAAACTATTTTATTTGAGTATTTGTGTCTGGGAGAAGGTACTGTACCCAGTTCCTATGTTCGGCAGTTATAGACTGGGCTTTCTTGTACAAGAGAATAACAAATACAAATCAATATGAACCATTACTGTATAATTATCCTTAAATTATTTTATACAATGCACCAAATAAACGTATGGCATTTTGAAACAAGATGTGCAACAATTGTTACTGTAATTTTGTGTGCATTTTGTTGTTAACTAAGATGATGTTATGATTTATTTGTTGTTATTGTGCACGTGGACGCTTTGGACATATCTGGAGAAGGAAGAAATGGGTCTTCAGAATGATGGGAGTTAAAGACAAAAGGCGGAGACTAGTGTTGAAACTAGTGGAGAAACGATCAAGATGCCCCCTTGCCCCTTTGATTAGACGGCATGTTAAGTCAGGAAGTAGCATTATTAGTGATGAGTGGAGGGCATACAGGAGAGTGCTGAGTAACATGGGGTACAACCACTACACCATAAACCACAGCAGGTGGTTTGTGAACCCCCAGACGGCAGTCATATCCAACATATAAAAAGAGCTTGGTCGACCATCAAAGGACATGTCCATGTACAGAGAGTTTGTTGGAGGAACACCTCATGGTTCTTGAATGGTCATCTTGGCTTGGCTCTGGTCACCCTGATGCACTGCTTGGATGCTTGTTCAAGAATATACACAAAGCCTTTCCAGTCTGAGTACCATTATGTCTTACCAAGTCTTTCATTTATGTCTGAGAAAAGCTTTTATGTTTAAAAATGTGTATCAGTCATACTAAATAGTCTTACTTTGAGTCCTAATTTTCTGTGAATAAAATGTTTTGCTTGGTTCTGTTGCATCTTACTTTGCATTTCATGTGAAAAATGTGTATTAGATACAACTCATTCATAAATGGGCATGTGTATGAAACTTAAAAACAATGCACCCTTTCAGTAGTTATAAATGTTAGTGACTCATCAATAGATGGTGATGTGTTTCACACTTTACAATAAGGCTCCCTTTTACCAATTATAAATGGTTAATACTCATTAATAAATGGGAATGTGTTTTGCACTTTACAATAAGGCTCCCTTTTGGCAGTTATAAATGTTAGTAACTCATTCATAAATGGTCATAAGAGATGCTAAGAAACATCAAGATGGAAGGGGGGAGAATCAACTCAGTGAACAACAGACACCAAGGAAGCTGGCTGATGAAGAAGACGAAGTAAGCTAAGTAGCCAATATAAGGCTTAGCAGCACAGATAAATGTGGGCTCACTATTAGGCAAGCAACCGGTCACAGTTGCCCTGTTTATCTCATGTCTTATAAAAGCTTATTAATGATTTATAAAGTGTTCACAACCTAATTAATTAATTAATTACAAACTATTCGTAAACCCTTTATAAGGGTATAGTCTTATTGTAAAGTGGTACCAAATGGGCTAATCTGGAATGACTACTTTTACTTTTTATATTGTTATTTTACCTGCTATACTGCTTATTCATTTATAGACAGGAATACGCCGATTTATTTTTGTTTTATTCAGCAGTACAATACAATTATGCTCATTCCTGTCTTTCCAATCTGCCTTTGTTTTCAGAACTGTAAATCCAGAGCTGAAGTCTTACGCCCTTGGAGTTCTGTTCCTACTCCTGAGACTGATAGGTAATGCATTTATTATATTCTTCTGTTTTTCATGTCTGCTCATTTAGGCTAACTTATATTCTTAGTATGATACTATATGTAGAATTAGATTCCAGTTGTGGCTGCAAAGGATTGTTTCTGACTTGTGTGATCTTAACATTAGAAACGCCAACGGGTCAATTTGACCCGCAGCTGTTTTTTGATTGTATGTAACTTTTTTTCAATAACATATTCAAGTGACTTTTCCTGAAAGTGTGTTATGTAGCACCCTCTGTTGTTAAAAATGGTCAATATGAAGTCAGATTGAAAAAATCGCCAAAATAATTGCCATTTATACCTATATCCGCCAGCGGGTAATATTTACCTCATAGAAAATGCAGCGTAAACATGACCTGTTGCTATAGCAACGCCTTTTGTCTACTGCTTTTCCTTATAGATAGAGAGATAGATTGAGAGAGATAGATAGATTGATTGATAGATAGATGGATAGATAGATAGATAGATAGATAGATAGACACATAGATAGTTATAGATAGATCGATAGATAGTTATAGATAGATAGAGAGAGAGATAGAGAGATTTTTAAACAAAACACAAGTCTAACACCAAGCGTTTAAATCAGTACTGGTAGCGATATTTTATACTTCATGCTATCTGCACAAACTATATCATATGAAAAGCTAAGAGTCAACAGATTCTATTGGTATAAGTTTCATCCCTGTGCAATCAAAACCCACTTTTCTACATGATAAATAAAAGAAAATTGTACCTTGAAAATCAATGGTGGGTAAATTTGACCCGTTGGCGGTTTTAGGTATACAGCGACCTCTTGCGGTTCTAGTGTCAACATACAAATGTACGTATAAATCCAGAGCGTTGTAAAATACAATAATCAGAATTCAATATAAATAAAATACAGATTCAATAATCAAAATAATTCAATTTCATCTTTTTGTCTAACACAATATCTTGGTAACTTTAATATGACGTCTTGAATGAAAGCTTACATGCCAATGTATTCTCAGTTTCTACTATGCAATCAAATATAATCCCCCACAAAATCCTACGACACAAAACCGCTTCTACACTTACCTTGAAGCGTTGAAACCTTAAAGTAATGTTATGCACCTTTCTCTGGTTACCTTGTGCCATTTGGGTTTTGATGGCTGAATATTTGGCATTTACTCTCCTTTAAATGCTAGAAGGTCTCTCAGAGGGTGCGTACCTTAGGCTGTTTCCATGAGCAAAAAAGTCCTTAGACTGTTTCCATGAGCAGTACAGTGAACATCATTATAGATGTAACAACAAATCTGCTTCAAACCGGGTTTGTGTTTGTTGGCGTTTAGCCTTTCAAATTCCTTTTCACTGATTTCATTAAAAAGAGTTTGCCCTGATTGAATGATTAAAAAAGACTCAACCATTCAAAATCGGGGATTTCCTTTAAACAAGCCCTATTATGCTTTTGGGGGTTTTCCCTTTCCTGTAGTGTGTTATATAGGTTCTTATGCATGTAAATGGTCTACAGAGGGAGTTTTTTTTTCAGGCACAGGCAGGATAAGACATATCTTTATATTTCTTATCCTGCTTTTTGTACATTAAAGCATGTACAGTAACTGTAGAGGCAGAGAATACAAATATGAACCTGGAAAGAGCATAGAAGGGCCCCTTTAAAACTAACCTCATCTGTCTGGATATAAGACACATGCAAATGCTATGCTTGTTGAACTCCTCACCTGCTTTCTGTTCACCATCCTCTCTTGCTGCAGGCTTCATCCCCCCCCCTCTGATCTTCGGCATGGGCATCGACTCCACCTGTCTGTTCTGGAGCTCTGTCTGCGGAGAGAAGGGAGCCTGCATGCTGTACGACAACGTGGCCTACAGGCACCTGTACGTCAGCATCGCCATCGCCCTCAAGTCCTCTGCCTTCATCCTGTACGCCACCACATGGCAGTGTTTGAGAAAGAACTACAGGAAATACATCAAGAACAGCGAGGGCTACCTCACGCCCACCGAACTCTTCGCCTCCAATGTGACTCTGGACAATTTGGGCAAGGAGATCACCCAGAGCCCAGCCAACAGGACAAAGTTCATTTACAACCTGGAGGACCAAGATATGAGTGACAAAATGGAGTCAGTTTTATAGTGGAGGTCTGCACCGGGACTGGAGCTGAGGTGGTTAATGTGAAACTGATCTGATGTTTCTTTGGTGTCGTATCAGTGTAGAAGAATGTTCTCACTAAGGGTCTTCTCACCTAAAACATCAGACATATTGAAAAAAATTAAGAGATGTTCCCAAAATGCTCTATATCCTCATTGCACTTTTTTGCTAAAATACAGATATCTGGTCCTTTTTTGTCATAAACTGACTCACATTTTTTTTTGCTTTTCACATAACTTAATTTGGCAGTAGAATATAGATTGACTTTGGGAAAGGAATGACTCAGTAGTTAATTAATAACACCACTAATCAGCCAGCACGGCCCTCAGACATCTTCTTTAGTTCAACTTCATTAACAGCTCAGTTCAAATTGCAGTCATTAGGTTCAGATTTATAAGGAGATAAGAGCTTTTTGAGATGCAGCAATCTGAAATGTGTTATTTGCATAAGCTTTATTAGACAGTTTATGATGATTGCAGTTTAGCTTTGGTGTTTATCATTAGCTGATCATATTTCAGCTCATGTTTGCAGCACTTTTTCAGACATACAGATCTCACTCAGCTGTTTAACTTCACAAATAATGAAAGAGAGATATGCATTGATTAAAGAGGCCAATGTAGGAGCACAACACATTAAGCAAGAAGCAACAAGAAGAATAAGTAGGAAGGAATAATTAAGAATAATGGGGAAATAATAAAGCAATGGGCAACATGTGAAAGTAAATATAATGTATATTATGGAACCTTCTTCATTAAAAACAAACTAATGGAAGATTAATGACAGTTTCATAAATCATGTATTGTTATATCTTATACAACAACAATATTTATAGATTTCAAAAACTGATTTTTATTTGGCAAGAGCAGAGGCAAAGGGTGGATATCTCATTTTGGAACAAAACTCTTCACTTTGAGTTGCACATATTGCTCAGATTAAAAAAAATAATGATGAAGTGTTTTTCGATACATTTCACTGTAATTGGCCTGTATTGTTCTTGGGTATTTTTAGGATCTGTGGAAGGTAGATGAGTGTCTACTTAGTATGTATTAATTATCCCTTTACTGTTTCATAGTGTGGAGTTTTACTATGAATGCTGGACAAGACTGTTTTTATTTTTATTTTACTTCACAGCATTTATTTATAGTCAGTGTTTTCTCTTTAAAATGTAAACAAATTAGGTCCAACTTCTAAAAGTAAATTTAACAAAGAAATTCTAGGTGTTTAGCTTACGATATTAAAAGCAATGGACTATGAGAGAGGAAATAGGGGTTTGTTTGTCAAACAATGAATGTCGATTCAGTAACTGAATCTGTGACATTCAGTTTCACCACTCTCACCGATTTGACCCGTAGAACCGTTATAACTCCAGCCAGGAACACTCACAAAATTAGACAGAAATACAGTTTCACTTGGTCGTGGTATTCTACTCCTGGGGACGCCCCCCCCCCCGCAGCAGTAATGCATGTATTACACAGCACCAGGATAAATAACAAGCAGGGACCATTGCATATAAGACTCTCCAGGGTACTTGGATGCCGTGGGGTCAGAGCAGGTGGAGGCTGTGGGGGAGGGGGTCTTCAGTAATAGAATCAGTTACAGCAGCAAAGCTCACACGTGCGTACACACTGAGAGTGTGAAGGCATTTAAGGGGAACGCCAAGTCAGGGCACTGAGACGTGATGATTGTGATGGGCTAGCTGTCAGCAGACACAGCACAGCATGATGCACAGTGTCCAGACATAATTAGTTCATTTAAAGCATGCTGGTAATGCATGCAATGATACAAATAAATATTCAGTATGTCACTAAGCTGCACAGACTCTGTGGTTTGGCGGCCATGGTTACGGTTAAATTTAAATGTAACTACAATGGCCTCCAAATTATATTTTAGACCATGGAAAAGCTTTATAATGCATACTGCATTGTGATGTTGAACATTTTTAGCGAACCTCAGCTGTCTCATAATCACTCACACTGCAGCGATTGTCTAAACAGAATTTTCTTTTTTTTGCCAAATTCCTTGGGATTCGGATTTCTGACATATCCAGTTTATATAGAGAATATTGGTTTTCTTGGCTTACTTTGTAAGTATCTAATATGTTTTGCATCAAAAATATGGACCTTTGTCCATGTCACCATTGCTATAGATGTACTCCCTATGATGTTAAAGGTGGGGGTTAAAGATGTGGTTTTACATGGTGAGTCCCTTGCCCAGTATTAGACAAGTATTAGACAAGAAGATAATACCAATCTCATGTTTGTATGGTAACATAAAGCTAGAGCCATGGGCTGATTAGCTTAACATAACAAATGTAAATAGAGGCACATTGCTAGCCTGCCTTGTCCATGAGTTAAAGTCTTTTTTTTTTTCAGGTTGAACAAATTAGACATAAGGTCTTAATAGACTAGCTTTGAATCTACTATAGGTGTATTTCGTTACCAGACGCAAGCTAGCTTTCCTCCCACAGTTTTTTCCGTCTGTGTGCTGCTAAGCTAAGCTAAGCTAACCACCTACTGGCGGTAGCTTCATATTTACCGTTCAGGAACGAGAGAGGATCTTTTTATCTAATGCTCGCAAAAAATATATTTTCCTAAAATATCTGACTATTCTTTTGAGATAAAGTTCCATGATTCAGTCTCATTTTATGCTAACGCTCAAGTTTTATGAGCTCTTTTTTTGTGGAATTTATCTTCGATCCAAACTACTCGTGTGCTCTTAGTTTAGCACTTCAATTAACTAATAGTATAAGATTCAAACTATACTTTGACGATGCTTCAGCATCATAAATATTAAATAATATATCAAATGGGGGGAAAAGACAGTTGTTAGAAAATGTTGGAGATCAACAGTGGACCTACACAGAGCCATGCCAGACCAGACTGTCTGCCTGCTGTGATGTGAGAAGAGAGTATACAGATGTTTAGTAGTAAAACTTAAATACTTAAAATGGAATGATTTTTCGGGCACTGATTATTTTTTGAAACAGTTTCCAGTCAAAGATTTGGACTGATGGGAAGATTGGCTCCTAGCAGGACATACAGGATGGCAGGACATTTTGCTAAGATGTACAAACAATTGCAAAGACAGTTTCTAAGGCTGCTAAGTAACATTACCAGCTGGCCACCAGCTCCTCCTCCGTAACCCCCAACAGGTGGCGCTGTCTTTGATATCTGTAACGTCCAGTGTGTCATAGTGCTGACTCCTCTGTGCATAATAGTGCCATACAAGTGCCAAAGTGACACCATAGAAGTGTTTCTGTAATGTCCTGCAGAGAACTTTGTCTTTACCAAGTTGGAGCTCAGAGCAGATCCTCCAGCTGTATGTAGCCTTTCTGTGATATCCCTCCACTTACTTTCACCATAGCATACAAAAAGTGTCCCAAAAACATATTGCCTATAAAGTATTGTATATGGGTCTAGAAAACCATATTATTTAGGGTGTAATAACTGTTAATATGTAGAACTTTTCTACTAGTGAAGGTATTGTCTACTTTAGATTAATCTCTCTTTCCATCAGTGGCAAAGCTGATAACTGTTTGTTGCTTTGGTCCAACCAAAAACAAAACTTTGCTTGAAACAAGTGGCACCAATGTTGAGCCTCCGCCTGACATTGTAAAGTAGGCTAGATGAGGTTGACTGTAGAGAAATCAGCCGGTCTTCACTGATAGCAGTCTTGCACCTGTGCCTGGATATTGAGCTCTACTCTGAGACTTCCTGATGGTGTGCCATATCAACCTGTGCAGTGTATTCAACACTTGCAAAGAAAAAGCCAACATATTCTAGGTCTGTCTAACGCGCTGGCCAGCCAACCCTGGCCAGTGACGGCGCTCGCTTGACCTTGTATTCACCTGCGGCGACAGGACTGTTTTGCCTTGTGATGAGAAAATAACTTTGGAGCATAAATGTTATTTTTACATCCTATTTGTCTCATTATTCTTTTTTGATGACCTTGCCTGGTGGTAACAGCAGGTTGACTTTTATAGCGGAATCTTTAGTGACAGAAGTATGGGCATATGAAGAGTTTACTGCCAAAATACGACATTTCTGGGCAAAAGAAGTCCTGAGCTTTATCATTCAAGAGACATTTTTAACATCAATGGAAAATTAACCTGTAAATAGTCCCATGATTTGTTTTTGTTGCGATCATTTATTTATTACGAATGGTACAAAAAAATGTAAATGACGGATGTTATTTTGGCAGCAAACTTTAGGCAGCATGTTGCCTTTGATTAAAGTGAAACCACGTGCTAACATGTTAGTGACGGTTTTCGAGTGATGTGTTTGCTTATGTTGTGGGTGATATTCAATGTGTGAATTTCATTGCTCTTTGCAGGGGACCTTTGAAAAGAAAAGGGCATTGAAATAAGAAAACATCACCTATATTTTCCAAGCATCACTAAAGATTTTTAGATATGCTGTTTTATGTTCTGTATATTTCTTGAAAAAGATTACATGATTTTATGTTTATTGTAAATACATTAAATATACTATTTTTGTTTTTAAAATGACATTTTCCTTTGCCTCACAATTATGATGATTTCCTGCTGAAACTCATTGTCACTGAGAGGTGGATTTCACACAATTGAAATATCAGTTTTCATATTTAGTATGCATGAATCCCATCAATTATTCACCCACGGGACACCTACACTGTCAAACGAGCCAGAAATATTTTCACTAGATAGTGCTAACACGTCAAGATGATAAGTTGTGTTAAACAGTTCTGCAGCCATAGAGTCATTGTGGCTCTCTGCGTTCACACCTGCCTTGTATAGTCCGGTTGAATCGAACCCTGGTGCGTTTAGCCGCTTGGTGTGGTTCATTTGGGTCGGTGTGAACACAATCCGAGACCTCTTAAGTGAACTAAACAACCGGACTCTGGTCCGCTAAAATAGGTGGTCTCGGAGCGCTTGCTTGCAAACTCTAGAGCGGTTCATTGCTGGTGTGAACGCAGTCCGCACCAAAACATAGGAAGCGCAGTATTTACGTGTCACAAGAACGCGGACATCTTCAAAATCTTTAGCGAAAGAGTCTTTCAAGACATCCGCGGTTGTTAGTTAAAGAGTGAAGCAGAATGAAGTGTTGAACAGTGTCGTGTAAAGTAAAAATTCTCCGTCAGCTACATAAAAGTAAGAACACCTGTCATCGGTGAAACGCCCCTCCTTACTGCAGAACATCTCTAATGAACAGGAACATGCCGATCTAGATCCCTCCGCTTCGCGTTGGGCTCCTGATCACCCTGTCGGTGTTATTTTCCCCATAATGACCGCGCCGCTGCACATTATCCCGCTTATTACATAGCCACATTCTCAACAAAGTAACGACATGACTCCCAATATTAATTTAAATGCTTTTGTGGAATTAGAAAAATATTTTATTGATTTAAAAAATAGTTGTTTGTATGTATTGATTTAAATTGGCATGCATCCGCTAAGAAAAATAGTCCGTTGTTACTGTTTGAACTAACGTAGCAATGGCAGGAACTGCTTCGATAGCGTTTTTGAGGAGCTTTTTGATTTCAGATTTGAAAACATCGTTGCTTGCTTTAAAAGTAGCACAATTTATTATGTCAAACCTTGGAAAGTATCTAGATAAGTAACTGGCAACTGAATATGTGTCGCCGTCTGATGTCTATGTCTGGACAGTTGCGTAAAAAGGAGGATTTCTGCCCTTTACTTCTCCGCTGTTTTTTAACGGACGTTGTCTGATTATATAATCATATGCGCGGGCCGCTAGTGTCTTTTGATCTCCAGATTAACAGCAGCATGGGAATAACCTGCCGAAAGTGCCGTTGCTCCATGGCGGAGGCTCCGCTAGAAATTGCCGGGATTTGCGTTTTTACCCCCTTAATGTCTGACCAATGGTTGAACAGCATTTCCGAGCACATGACTTGTGTTTAAAGTTTATAGTCCGTTTGAGTTTTGCCCGTGTGAACCTGGTGTGAACGCAAACCGAACCTTCTGAAAAATGAAACAATGTAACAAACTGTGGTCTGGTGCGCACCAGAGAGCGGACTATTAAGTGTGAATGCACCCTTAATCTGTGTCTGTCCATTTGGTGTAGTGTTTTATCCAATATTACATTTGGTTTATATATTACTCACTTTCTTATGAAATGCCAGGTTTTAGGCCTTGGTCTGAACATTCAATCCTGGAAATAAAAAATCAACCAGATACATTTTTCTAGATAGATAGTAAGTAAGTAACATCTGTATAGGAAGACGAGTTAAGGGGTAGAGGAGAAAAGGTTATGGTATAATTACAGAGCCAATTTATAAATGGAGGAAATCAATGTTAGTCTTTGAACCAAGAAATAAAACTCTTTCTAAACGTACGTGTGACTGCTGTTGTCCCTGATTGTCTGTACGTATTCAATTTGCTTAAGGAAAGAAAGAGACAAAACGTTTATGACTTTGGTGTAGTGACGTTGTACTGACGATATGGTGCGGATTAGTCTCCAGAGACGGTAGTTTATAACCACAAACTTTAGAGGTAATGAACTGTAATTGTAATTTTTTTTTTCTCGTATGTTCAATTGGTCAAAATGGTCCGGGCCGAGGGTCCTACTTTACTGACTCCGCCGACGAATTTTTTAGGCCTTGCCCTGCTAAAAGAAAAAAAAGTGTTGTTGCTTTTTATCGACCGGTTCGTCTACTTATTGTGGTTCGAAAAAGGAACGAGTCGACGAGAGCTGTTATAGAAACGAAGAAATAAACACAGCCCTAAACTGGGGAGAGTAAGACCAGAAAAGGAGACTAGAAATTAATTGTCGGTATCAATGTAATAAATCTAC